GGTAGCGGCACCTCTGACCCACCTATTAACTGGCCATAAAGAAGACAAATCGCAGTTTCGTGTTAAAATATGCGTAGGCGCATTGTTATGCCTTTTTAAACGATTCTTGTGGGCTCCCAACTGATGTTATGACATATTTGATGGGATAATTGAATTTTATTGGCGGGCTGTTGTTAATATTTTGGAAATTGTAATATTGTGATATATTGGGATCGTTTTTAATTGCTTTTAACCGTAGATGATACCGTTATTATATTTTGGATACTAGTTTGCTTTTTGGTTTAGTTGTAGAGTAAAGATTGATTTAGAAAATATTGTTTGAGGGCATGGGAAAGCGCGTTATTGTCTCTACAATAAAATTGCAGCATCAAAATTTTAAAATTTGCATTTTATTTTAGACTGATCAATTTTTAAGTACTACTTATTCATCTTTCCATAATCTTCTTTAAATTCGTCGCTAACGCAGCAAGTACCGTAACGGTTTACAAATTAAAGTTTGGTATATTTTTCTTAGTTTTTATTTTTATCCTATAAAACTATACAAAGTGGGTATCTTCTAACTCATTTATTTTTTAATTTAATTACCAAAATAATTCGTTCATTTGACCATAATTTACACATCACCGCAATGCGTTCTCCTAATGAAGAAACCAGACAACCTACCAAACTTTGACCTGAAAGCTCCTTAGAACGCCAAATGAACTTTTCAATACTACACTCATCTTCATTCCGTGTCAAGCAACTGGTTCCAATATTACTAATAAAACATGAATAATGAATCCACGATTTCGAAAGTGTCTTAAAATCCTCCGACATTTTCACTACGGTTATTAATTAATGAATATCTAATCAATTCGAAGCAGTTGAACCGTAATTTGAATATTTCAATGTAAACTCTCATTTTTGGGGTTCATTAGGTCAGTAAAAAGTTATTTCTTTAATTTTAATATAATTAACATAATTATTTATCATACTCATTAATTAATTAACCTGTATTATGTTACTATTATTATCAAAGGATTTACCAATGGTCCTACAAAGAAACTTTGGGTATTAAATTTTTTCTTCTTTATAAAATACTAGCTTTCCGCCCGCGGCTTCGCCCGCGTGGATTTTTGTCTGTCACAGAAAAACTTTATCGCGCGCGTCCCTGTTTCAAAAACCGGGATAAAAACTATCCTATGTTCTTTCCCGGGACTCAAACTATCTCTATGCCAAATTTCATCAAAATCGGTTGCGAGGTTTAAGCGGGTAAGCGTAACAGACAGACAGACAGACAGACAGACAGACAGACAGACAGAGTTACTTTCGCATTTATAATATTAGTTGGGATTGGGATGTACATACATCGTAAAATAAAAATGTTTCATTTTCCACAGTAGTCTTGCTGCCCTTCAATATAATTTAAAAATTATTAATTACAATAATAATACAACACTAATTTATAATCAAAGATAATCAATGAAATCATTAGTATTGTAAATCTTAACACAATCAATTAGACACTAATTGGGTAATAATGATTTAGAGTCCTATCACAGAATACATAATAGTAGCAACAGAAATTGCACTCCTTTGTGTAGGATCAGATGCCGACATTTTAACGGTAATAATAATAATGCAAAATACCCAACGCACATGGTGCATTCGAAATCGCACCTTACTACTACGCTCACAAGAGCGCATTTTTTTTGTGTTTAGAATTGATCTACGTCACCGCTCAAGCGTCAGGGTTGTATGAGCAAAGTAAAATAAATAAAAACTTAATTTTAAGAAGCATTTATTGTATTTACGATTAGAAAACTTTAATCTAGTGGAGTTTGTATAATCGTACCATCTCTAAAGTACCTATTAATAAACTTCAGTGTTGCGATAATTCGATATTAAACAAACAGTTTTAAAAGGTGTAGTGTCGGAAAATAGACACTTTGAAGTAAAGTTAATGTTTTTATTAGCTAAAATAATTTTTTTGCTATAGTTTTTTGTCATAAATATTTCAAAATAATTTATTATTTAAAAAGTGTAGTTTTTTTTTTATTATTTAAATCACTACAGTTAATTATGATTCCTAAATATTAAAATTTTTCATTAAAGAAGAATAACAGTGCTGTTGGAACAATAAACCTTGATTGAGACTATGATCGACCGAGCGTGTATAGATACGCGTGTGCAAACAGGCGCGTGGCGGCCCGGACTGATTTGCAACTTGAAGTTGTCGCGCGCTGTAGGTAATTATCTCGGCCGGCATAGGCGAGTGACGGAGGCCTGGCCCAATCAATATTTCAAGTCCTACTGGCAGCTGGTACTGTCAGAGCGAAATATCTTTACCGTGTTTAAAATATTGCGACACATTTATTAATTGAAAATGGTATGATACGGCTAATGATATGATAACAAGATTAATGTAAGAACTTTTATCGGAATGATTTGATTCAATATCGCCCGTATTCACAAACACTACTATGAGGTCTCACAGTGCGCGTAGACGCACAGGGTGATACAGGAACCAATCACAGAGCTCTATTTATTCAATCCTGTGCGTTCGATTTTTTGCTTCGTTGTTCGAAAAATTGAACGATACTTATCGTTTGTGAATACGGGCGTATAATATCCAACGACTTTACATCCGATGGATTTGTGTGGCCTCAGTCTTTGGAATAGCTTTCACAAAAAACTCGTAAGAACTAAAAAACCTTTTAAAACTCATTTTATTTCTGCAAGTAGGCTTTTAAAAACTCTTTTACACGTCCCAGTACGTCTCTCCACTGGTTCGCGACAGTAAATGGGCCAGTGCTGAGAAGAAGCAGCACAAAAATCTCAGTCACTATTTCAAGAGTTTCGAGTTGAATGTGAATAAATAAATAATATAAATAAATAAATAAATCTTTGGAAAATTTCACACAGCGCCAGCTAGCCCCAAAGTAAGCAACTTAATGCTTGTGTTATGGGTGCTAGCTTAACGGATATACTACTTATATACTTTTTTTTTATAAATACATAAATATTATACATAGTCACACCCAGACCCGTCACAGAAATTAAAATTCATCATTTCAATTTCTGCCCGGCCGGGAATCGAACCCGGGACCTCTCGGCATAATAGTCCGTTCTGAACCACTACACCAAACGGCCGGCCATACTCTCTACATTACCTAATGTGCAACCTAGATGACAATCTATTTTGTTTTATTAAATTTTTGAATAGTTTGCATGTTCTATTATTAGCTTACTTTCATATTCGCATAAATTAATTAAAACAGTCAAACCGTTATTATATTCAGATTTAATCTAAATTCTAAAAATAAATTATAAGTTGTAGGTATGTTTAATATTTGCCCAAATACATAACGGTAGATGCAATATTTTAGACGTCTATTCCACCTATCGATTTAGGTTAAAAAATAAATACTAAAACTTTACAGTTTTTCTAAATATAAATTTAACATATGAATGTGAAATTAATTTAAATATAGAAAACCAGAAAATGGATCCATTTGTCTTAACGTTTACCATTTTTAATGCACCACGCCTTAAAATAAGTTGAAAGTAAAACAGGCTTTATTAAACTTAATGGAAAGACGGTTAAGACGGTTTGTGCTATTGATAGTACATAATATATTATATAGGTACTTTGTGTTATGACCTAAGTGTCTAAGCACCTAAGAACACAATGCGGAGAAAAACTGATCTAGACAACAATATTTTCATAATAAAAGAGACACAATTAGACTAAACAAGTTTTGAATAGAATAAGAATAAAAATATTTTTATTGATGTAATACACTGTACTGTAACATTTAATATTAAAACCCTGGCTCCTAAACTAGTGTAAACTGTATTTCATACCAGAATACCAGGATAGCAGATAGAATACCAGGTTACTTGGGTAAGGTTTTAAGTGATATGAAAGGGGTCACAAAAAGTCATCACGTCAAACGTGTGTGATTGATGATCTGCCATAGTTACCTATGAATCTTCATAATTTTGGTTAAAATGCTTATCATGGAGTGGCGTTTTTGTGCCGTCAGACACAGTAGGTCAGTTATGGTGCTTTTCTGACTGAACTTTATTTATTTATTAATGATGGTGATCATTCATCAATTTATGAATGAGGACATTAGCCGCACTGCGATTTGCATGATCCGTGAACCTCATTGACGTTCTAGGGTCAACCACCAATACCCGTCNTATAAGTTTTAGGTATGTTTAATATTTGCCCAAATACATAACGGTAGATGCAATATTTTAGACGTCTATTCCACCCATCGATTTTGGTTTAAAAATAAATACTAAAACTTTTACAGTTTTTCTAAATATAAAGTTAACATATGAATGTGAAATTAATTTAAATGTAGAAAACCAGAAAATGAATCCATTTGTCTTAACGTTTACCATTTTTAATGCACCACGCCTTAAAATAAGTTGAAAGTAAAGACGGTTTGTACTATTGATAGTACTTAGGTACTTTGTGTTGTGACCTAAGTGTCTAGCACCCAAGAACACAACGTAAAGAAAAACTGATCTAGACAACTATTCTCATAATAAGAGAGACACATTATTAAGACTAAACAAGTTTCAATAATACCAGGTTATTTGGATAAGGTTTTAAGTGATAGGAAAGGGGTCACAAAAAGTCATCACGTCAAAGGTGTGTGATTGATGAATGAGTAAAATTAGTAATAACTGCCATAGGTAGGTACCCATGAATCTTCATAATTTTGGTTAAAATGCTTATCATGGAGTGGCGTTTTTGTGCCGTCAGACACAGTAGGTCAGTTATAGTGACTTTCTGACTGATCTTTATTTATTTATTAATGATGGTGATCATTCATCAATTTATGAATGAGGACATTAGCCGCACTGCGATTTGCATGATCAGTGAACCTTTTTGACATTTAGGGTCAACCACCAATAGCCGTCAATAATATTACCTTTACCTCTATTAATATTAGTCAGACCGTAAATGCTACATCAGTCAAAACATACACCTGTAATCTTTCCAGATAATGAGCGCACAGGCACAAGGAAAGACCACCTCGAAGATGGATGGGGCTGGTTCCGAGATAAATGACTGGCAAAGCGCATCAACATGACGGCGACAAGAGAAGCTGGTTCCAAGATGTGTCACGAGATGGCGCTGTTCATGGTTCTGATAGCGATCGAAATGGCAAGCGGTTCGGCTAGTGCGGGAGAGATGGCGCTGGCAAACGTAACGAGGTTCGCGCCTGGTGACCTATTTTCGCTTTTTGGTGAGAATTATCTCTTTCTATTAATTTTAATCATGACACGATATTATTTAATACATAAAATGTACTATTTAATACAATCTTTCAATGCGTGTAGTACCTACCACAAAATAAGTACTAGAACTTCGTGTAGCCTACTCACATTAGTAGCTTCGTTAACGCATTTTTTTAAAGCAATTAAAATTTTAGGGGGTTAATTTGATTATGTATTACCAGGATCATACTTGGATGCTGACTAGCTAGTTACTCGTACCAACATTAGATTATATTATTACGGTAACACCTTATTATAATAATGAGGTAACACTTTAAAGAGTGCAGTTTGCCTCAGTGGAATTTATTGTAACTGAATTTAAAGCCAATTCTACCTTTTCTCATCTTATCTCTCGATGCAGGGACTGACTGCGGCCTCACCCGTTGTATGGAGCTGTCCCATGGAACGGCTTTGGCAGCACTGGGCACTGACAGCGGCTGCGTCTGCCAGTGCCGGCGGGAGACGCCTGCGTTCAGGGAAGACCAGCGGATCTGCGTCAACCATATTGATGGTATGTTTCATCATCATCATTGTTTTTCTTTCCCGGTACCTATGTTTCACTCTGTAGATATGTCTCTAAGATTAGGTAGAGTAGTCAAAGAGCCCCTTCTTATACCTACTTGTTATAGTGGTGTAATTTTTAAGCAATTTAATACATTTTTACCACCGAAAAAAAAGATAGGCCCCTATCAGGGTAGTTAGCTGTAGTTTCTTTACAGTTACTTATCGTCATTGTTGGTCTCATAGTAAAAACCTTCTGGTTGATTTTTATCGATAGCTTTTAATCTAATAATGCCTGGACTTGAACTGACACAACATAATCCAGAGGAATAGGCGAATATGTGTAAAAACCACAATTTCAGCGTATTTTTATCCTATTTCTGTTATTATGAGAGAGTGAGAGTGAAGAATATCTTAGTTAGGTGGTTTAGCTATACGAGAATCAAGTTAGGTACTATTAAACTCTTAAACTCTGATCCTCCTAACGAACCAAACACTCGTAGTAGCAATTTAAGTATCTTAAATGACTCCTTATCACTTCTTACACATAAGTGCGATGTCACGATGGCGAAATTCATCAGCAGTCCTCATCGCCAATCTGAATTGTCTATTCATAACTTTAATGGTTTATTTATTAATGATCCATTGACTGTTGACATTTGCTACATTTGCAATCCCGTTACTCTAAAATTAATGCAAGGTCACCGAGATCAGGTACGGCCTATGATAATAGATTATAATGAGACATTTTGTCTAATTATCATAATGACTAAACGTGATGTTATCAGTAGTATGAATATGTGATCATTTATGCGCAAAATGATGCATAATAAATACAAGAGATGTATGAAATTGCGTGCCAAAGAATGTAACTAATATCATTAAATCAAATAACATTTTTCATTAGAATAAGTCAGTGTTCTAAAATAAATAGTAACCTTCATTATAAATGAATTATTCAAAACATTTTTTGCTATTTTGATCAAGCCAAAATTGAAAATTCTATAGTCGAATATTTAATATTAACAATTTACGATGGCCATAATTTGGTTTCCTTGACAGTTATAATTAATGAAAAAGCTCATGAATCATCATCGTGAATAAATAATCAAAAGAGACAAATTGATTGCAGTTTTATAAAATACCTATTTCATATTAAAAATCAATATTATTAAAACATTATGAAATGAGTCATCTGACATCATCAAGACAGAAAAATCACTGTGGGTGGGGTCTCATGGTCAAATACTGTTTTGAAAATACATAGATTAAATAACGGTGAAATAATAAATATTCAGCATCTCCCTCCACAATGTTTTATTCATTTATTTTAAAACATACTAATTTGTTTGTAATAAATAATATTCTTCTTTTATACAGAATGCCTTATGGCCAGCTTTGGGCGCGGCGCTACCAAGCCTCAAATACCTTTCGTCTTCTTACCCCTAAAAGGACAGATCATTTACCCCTCAAAGGAAATAATATTTACCGGTAAGTAAATAAAAATTAATAAAAAAACACAAAAAGTTTTCTTCCGATACCGGGAATCGAACCCGAGCCTCCTGGGTGAGAGCCAGGTATCCTAGCCACTAGACCATATCGGATGTGCTAAGAATATTGAAATTTTGTTAGACTTTTTTGAGTTACAATGTAGTTCGTAAATACTCTGCTAGAGTGCGCGACTTTAATCTTTAGCTTGGTTACTTACAACAAAAGTATTTTTAGAAGGGTCACTGATTTGAGTCAGATTCAAAAGTTAATCTACATACATTCATTAAAATTTATCACATAATATTTATTTTAAAACGACCAAAATTCCCATAGATCGACTCTTTGAATTACTTAGTTGCTAGATCCTACCCGTAGAAGTAAGGAAAATTTAAGCTGTATTTCGGGCTACTTATGGATGCAGGATCTTAAAATGTTTTATTGCGCTATCATACTAAAATATGATACAAATTATTGATCTAAAAATACTATTGCAGATGTAGAGGACGCGATATGCGCAGTGACAAGCGCGCAGTACCTGTCAGCATCTGGATGGGTGACCCTGAGAGACCTGGTGGACAACGACGTGCCATTCAGTCTCTATAGGGACGAGGGCAGCACTTTCTTACAGGTAACCATCATGTTTGTGTGCCTAAGATAAACTATCAAAAGAAAGAACTTGAAATGATGGCCTAAAAACTTTAAGCGCTTCAGAACTTGGAGTGGTCTGTAAAAATACCTACATATTAAAATATAATAAAATAAACTAAACTTATGAAGTGTTTGTTTGTTACTGAAACATTAACTCAATTTTTATATTGTATTGCGTGTTTTCCTGTTTATTTTGTATTTTAAAAATTACGAACGTTTGCCGTCATTAATCCAAAAGGCAATTCCGCGTTTTAATTCCCTTTAATGTAAAATTTGGTTAATTTTACTGATTATGTTCTGTGTGTTATTATAATATTTAACTTAAATATGCTTTATGTATTTAACTTAAAGTTCCATGTAGTTTCCTCGAACTACCTTTAAAAGCACCAAAAGCTACCACCCAAGAAGGTTTTACAGCTCCCAATTTATAAAACTGAATATCCACACCATTGCAATAATTTTCATATTTTTACTGCTTCTTTTAGAGCAAATTAAAAATTCAAATAAGCAATTAAAAACGGATAAGTTATGAATAATCTCGATACAAGGACACGTAATTAAAGACGATTATCGAATGACCAACTTCGGGCAAAATGGAGCAAACAGTGTAAATCTGATTAAGCAAATTTTGTCGTATTGTTGTCAAGAGAATATTTAAAAGAAAATTTTATTCTAAAGTCGGTTAAAAAGCTCCAAGGTGTAAAACGAGATATCTAATGAAGATTTAGGACTGTTCAGAACGAAACATAATCTTATTTCCTAAAACAAGAGCGGTCAAATGAGCAGTCTGTCACTGTACGAATACTCATTACTCAAGGAAGAACTTTCAAGATAATTTTGCCAGTTCCCTTAATTCAAAACCAAGAAAAGGACACTCAATAACTTGAAAGGATCTGAAGCTACATATAATGAGATGGTACTTACCTAGGTCGATAGAGATGTCATGCTAAGGACTTACAAAATAATCTTAGTTCCAACAATAACGCAAAAAGATTGGAAAAACAAATTAATTTGAACTCATTAGTACTAAATGTGGACCGGTTGATCAGTTTTAAGTAATATAGATACTCTAGATAGGTATGCAAATTCTGAAGGTTACTTAAGTTTTTAGCAATACTAAGTAAATTCGTGTGTAAGAGATAATAATGACGATTTCATTTTAATTCATGGTTCATTTATTGAGTAAGGGGAGCAGTACCTCTAGCACGAAAAGCTTTCGACTTCGAATCGTTGTTCGAATTGCCATCGAAAGATTTAGTATGAAAACTTAAACAGCACCCCTGTGCGTTCACAGGGCTGCAGGGGCACTTAACGTAAAGTGAACTTAGCATGAGAAATTGTAGCTCTAAACTAATTTTGACAATCGAGATCGTCACAACGATTGGAAGGCTGGGTAGGGTATCGAATTTTGTAGAATACGCAAACGATATGAAGTCGAAAGTTTTTCGTGCTAGAGGTTCAGGGCACAGATTACTACAAAGACGTTGAAATGCATTGATTACAACATGACCGTAATTCATTTACATATGATCAGAAAATGCGCCCAATCGCGGGACTTAATTAGGTGGGGGAAGGGGGTTATTTTGAAAAAGTAACAGTATATTTACTTAAAATTCCAAAATCGTTATCGTTATCATTTTGAGGCGTATTCGTTACGATTTTGGATAAACAAACCTCATAAAAGGGCGCCGACAGTTCTGTTAAGCAGTTACTTCATACAATGTAAGCAAAAAGCTTACTTAAAAGCATTATATCTTACTTTGAAAAATACCTATTTATAAACCCCGTTATAGTCTACTAGCTGACCCAGATAACTTCGTTCTGCCTTTGTTTATCAATAATTTAGGATTCTAATGGTCAAAGATTTTTTAGATTCGGAGTCTATTCAATACAAACAAACAGTCAAATCTTTCCTCTGTAAAATTTTAGTGTAGCTGACCCACTATTCTGCTTTTCTTACTGACTCTTGAACTATAATATCCTGTGGGATAATCTTACAAGATCTACTACTTAGCTATAAAAGAAACCGGGTCGTTCTTTTTAACTACATAATCAGATGTTCTGGACACGTTTTAGTCTGGTAGTAGTGGGTAACACTGTTATCACATGATCCGACTACTTTTGAACAAACTAATTATTTCATTACGATTAGGTACTTACATCGATGATATCGTACCTACTTATGTACATTCCTTACAGCTTTTATGGCTATGGTTCAAACGTAGAGTCAAAGACGAGTTTACAGATAAAAATTTGCCAGTGACATTTCAAGCACACACCGTGTGCGGACTGCGGTATCCAGATCACATAATCCAGAAAATCGAGTTATGAAATTCCTTGACATGTCAAGTCCTGATTTTATCAGGCTCAGAGACATTACCCAGTACCTGGAAGCAGATATGCTCTGAATAGGCAGCCATTATGCTCTTAGAGATCTTGTGTTTAAATTCATTTATAACATGAGTGACAAAGTAATATTTCATTTTATTAAACTTTCCCTATTTGCCTGGATGAATATGTCATCAATCACCTTCTGTGAGTGAACTTCGTATTCGGATTAGAAACTTAAAGTAGAGTCATAATAAATTAAGAAGCATCATACTAATACCTACATACACTCAAATAAAACCAGTTAATTAGTACCAATCATCCATGTCATTAAAATTTAAACATACAAAATAAATCAGTTAACCACCTGTCAATGAGTGAGGTCAATGAATATCCTAGAATCTAAAATATTCGGAACATGAAAAAATAACAAGATGATTATCGTCAAGTTGAAGTACAACGTACCTTCTAAACCGAACTATAAATTGCTGTAATTATCGTCTAAATTAAAATATTCGATTCTGTTAATGATCCCAAATTTATTGCGGCACCGAACAAGTCTATTTTGATTATGTATTTACATTTAATGTCCTGACAAATGCCTGCTTACGGTGAAAGACACCCAAAGGCCGCTGTCGTAAAAACAACTGTTTACTATGTAGTAGCTGTTTGGAAAAAAAATATTCCGGAAAATTATTGGCCACATCCTCACAGTAAAGTGTCTCCACAATACTGCTTCAGGTCATTTGCCATCAAATTTGTGGCACATTTGCCGAAGTTCGCACGCGCTGGCCTCCTAACTACCAAAAAATCATTAGGCTCTCAAAGTGCATAAACACTGTCATCACGCACCGTCTCAAAATTAACATGTATATTGAAATAATCCAGTTTTCAGCCCCAAACTTTATAGCGTCTCCTCATAAAAATTTGATTGCCGTCGGAAGAATCTGCAAAAGTTTTTTTACGGACGGAGTTGTGTTTGAATGAAACTTTGCTATCTTGTTAAAACGATTCTTAAATTGAAGGGGAATTCCAGAAAAATCTATCACAAACTTAGCTTCACCCGCGAGGATAATGATCGTCATAATTAATTTCATTGTCACGCGTCTTACAACAAAAATAAGTACCTAACTTCTCACCATCAATGCTATATGCAGAATGGAGTCTATTTCTACAAAAATTGTTTAGGGTGCCCTAATAGGCGTGAAAATGCTAAACCAAACGGATTAACCTTCGTATTTTTTAAAGTATAGACTGGACTGCAAGCAACTCGTCGCTGGGACGTTATCACGTTATCTCGGATGCTTCGGATATTTGGGCGGTCTTGATGACGGATTCAGTTTATCAATCGTGACAGACGACAGATATTTCTCGGTTGATTCAGAGGACGCAACCGATGAAGTGCGACGATAAAGCTGAAGGCGTCAAAGGAACGATCTGTCCAAAATGTGCGAATTCGCCGCACTTAGATTCACCAACGCTGATTAAGAAAAACAAATGTGCCGGCATTTCAACTGCAGGTGGTACGCTAACCAATGATGTGGCAACAAACATTTGGCACATCTGTAACTTTGCTTTTGACAAACCTAATCTTATTTTAATGCAATAAGGATTAATGTTGTTTACATTGAATGAAAGTGATATATGCCCAGGCTTGTAACCCGACGACAAATTGTGGACATGCTAACTGTTGATTTAAATCTCAATGCCTTTGGACGCCGGTAACGGGTCTGATGCTTATTAATTTGATTTTTTATCCTTAATTTATGGTAGGATTTCAACAATATCAGATAATGTTTATTTATCTTCTTTAGCTTTGTGGATTGGGAATAAACTTCGGTATTCGTTTGGTTTATATTTTTGGGCTTGCGGTTTCGTAATAAATTCAAAAACAGTTTAAGCCTTTAATTACAAAGATATTGGTGTATGCGATATTGCCGACAAATCTGGTATTATTTAAAACAATTTATTTTTAGAACTGAAAAAATAATAAGGTGTAAGATTTTAAAATTAATTTAATCCAAATCGACAACGAATCATTACCTAGTGATACACGCAAATTCATACAAAGTCTCTATTCACAGTGGCGCGGATCAGCGAGCCTCCACGCGCGTCTCGAAGGCCGACTAGTGGCAGCTCATGTGCTGTGCTCAGCGCCCGAGCAAACCCGCCTGGCAGCCTCCTGCGCAGCCTTCAGGATTGCTGGGGCGACGCATAACGCTTTACTTGGTAACATACCTTTACGATTCATGTGTGATCTTGTTTCATAAACGATCCTCTTTGTATTCCCAAACTACTTACGGTCCTGGAGGCCCAGGAGCCGGATCATTTGAAAGTAACCTAATAAGCAGCCTTAATTGTATCTTGCCTTCTCATTCTTTCTTACTTTAACCTTGTCAACTTTATTTCTTATAATTTCTTATAATTTTCAGTTATGCTTGCTGTTATAAAAAGTCGATATACATAATTATTATTTTATCTCTTGTGCCTGTCACCAACTCCAGGGCTAGTTCCACTTTGAACAAAAATTGAGTAAATGTTTTTTTATCCAGATGTAAAATCCATCCCATTCCATGCTGGTGAGATCGTCAGCACAGAACCAACTGCCTCAAGTCACGGCCTCAGCGTCCTGGAGTCTCTCGCCATCGGTGTCTGCGTGCTGATGCTGATCTTCATCTATGCAGCTGGCATCATCTTTTACCTCCACTACAAACAAAGACAGAAGCGCAAAGAGAAAGACCCTGAGATGAATCTGTCGAACACGATTTCTACAGATAACGGATCTACCCTGGATTCGAGAATCGACATGGATAATGTGGTACTTAATTTTCTTATTTCTTTTATCGTGTTAATTTCTCCTAGCTTCAATTTGTATTACTGATTTATTATCTTTTTGCAGCAAATGAAAACGAATCCATTGCTTAGCATGAGTAGCTTAAATAACGACTACCTTCACGATGCTGGTCTTTCTGATGTTAGCGAGCGCACAGAGGATACCATGGATTCTTCTCCGAATAATATTCACAAGGTAGCTAATAAGATACAGTGTTATAAACATAAAACTTCAAAATATTAACAAAAAATAGAAGCTAATTCAGAGTTTTAGTTCCAGAAACCCAACTCAAATGTGGTAGCAGCAATGGTCCATACGCGACGAAAGAAACCAGTCCGTCCAAATACTCGCGCAACTTCTACTCCAGAAAGAATAAATGAACGTCTACAAAGGAGATCTGCTTCACCAGATACCTTAGAAAGGGCACCTCATTCAGACTTGTCTATCATTGACTGTAGCGTTGAACAAAACAACGTGGCAAGACAACCAGTACAGTCTTCCAATGGAGAACCAGCGCTAAGGAAGAAATTGTACTTCAACCCTGTCTTTTTCGAGACTGAACATCTTAAGGTAAATATTAATATTAGTATTTGAATAGTACCTAAGAAATAAGCTAATAAATCTATAAAACATTTTATTTCTATTTTTCAGAATCCTCCACCAGCTGCTATTGAGTTCCTGATCAAAATCCGTGAAATCATGTCAATCGCTAAAGATAAAATGACATCAAAGAGATTTATTCCAATCTTATCCGATATCCCTGAAGAAGAACTGTATCACACAATTGATTTGGGATGGGATATACCTTGTGCTAGACGTGGAAGAAGATTTAGTGCTATAAGTTTGAAACACGAGAATAGCAGAAGAGCAGTCCATTGCGGAGGCTGCCCAGGTTGTGATAGCAGTGTCAACTCGCAAAAAAATGCAGCTCTTATTAGATCTAATTCTTGTAAAACGTGCGTTAGTGACGATTATAAGCAAAGGATTGTGAGAAAATGGCTTGATGAAGTCCCAACACCATCACCTGTGATAAAACCAGTGAAATCTGTGGCAAAAGTTAGTGGGACACCTAGAATTACCGAACCAAAAAATAACGACGAAAATTCGCATGTAGAACCGATTCGAAATGATGACTCAAAACATCCAATAGAAATATTACGAAACGCTATCAACGATATATTTGATAGAGACAATACAACGAAAAACAACGAAATAAAAATTGATGAAATTTCCGGCGATGTAAATGTAGAAATTACATCAGTTGATAAGCAAAGTCCTTCAAATCACAGATCACGTCGAATAAGAAAGAAATTACCACCACCACCTCCACCTCCAGTTGATCCCCCAGAATCACCCAAAGAAGAAGATGCTGAGCCAATACCACCAGAAGTAAAAATGAAAATGGAAGCTGTTATACGTGAATTAAACAAATGTCGGAGAGTTGAACCAAAGGAACTAGAAGATGTTAAAATGGAAACAATAGTACCCATTGCACCTAAAATTATTATTCCAGTATTAGCGGCTGATTCCCAATACTACAGCGATGATAACATGCTGCCTGACCGCAAAAAAGAATTTTATATTCACCGCGATAATGCCATAGATTTCGACAGTTTAGAACGTAACGTAATGAGAAGACGAAGATTTTCATTAGCTTGTGAACCAGAGCTGACTAGTAACGAAGAGTATCAGTGTCGTCCGAGTATACAAGTGGCTCGAGAAAGATTATCCAGTAGTTGGCGAGATATAAAGAAAGCAGTAGAAGAGCAACAGGTTAAACCTCAGCCGTTTAAATTACACCTTGAAAATAAGAGTGAGATATTTATAAACGCTGCAGAACCATATTACGATAATATGTGCATACCGGGATCTCTTACTATAAAAGTAAGCGGATCACCAGTTGAAGACAGGAAAAATGAAAATGAAGAATTCGACCCGGACACATTAGATCGAAAGCCAAAGCCCAAAAAAAGAGTTGAAAAAATTCTTCTGAAATCTGGAGGCAGTTTCAAATGTAAAGCGCCTGAAAATGAAAACGATGAAAGCAAAACCCCACCTGAAGCAGCTTTTACGAGAAAAATAGGTAGCTTGAGGCAGATCTATGAAGCGAAGACTAAGGTTCAAGGAGATGATATGGAGTTCTATGGCAGACGTGGTAGCATACCCTTCATGAGTCAAGAGATCACTGGGTACTCGAGGACGTTGAAAACTCCAGATTTAATATGCCAAGTTGATGCTCAGAAAGATCTCAAACCACCAATACCACCGAAGCAGAGACGAGGAAGTGATATGTCCCCAAAATGTTCGAATACTCGTGATAGTCCCCCTGATCGCCGAAGAATGTCTGAAGAAAGAGATCGGTTTTCCTCTTCTTTAAGATTAGATAATTTGAACGCTCGTCGCTCCGGTCGACGCTCTGCTCGAGCTAGATCTCGAAGGACAGACTTCAGAAAGGTTCACAGGACAGAAGACTCAGGCTATATGAGTACGGATTCAAACGAATCGAAACGTAGAGCAAAATACTTGCTGCAGTTGAGACCAAAAACAATTTTGCTGGAAACCATTCCAAATGCAAAAATTCTGATGAAAACGCCATTGCAGATAGAGTCTGACACAGACGATTTGGAGTCTCTTTGCGATGGGCGAAGCGAATCTGGGGCAGAAAGTGTGGAAACGGACTCTGTGTTCTTTGGAAACTTTGATGATACGAAGGAGTTGTTTGCGGAGTTAGGGTTAGGTACTTTCGAGCTGCAGGGTAAAGGGTTAAGTCAGGAGCAGATCGATTCTGGGTTTATGGGGGAGACTAATATTATTTTGAGTGGAGATAGTGACTCGGAACACAGGAGTGTGATATCTATAATCGCGGGGCGCGACGGAAGAGCATCCGCCGCGTCCATTACGAAAATAGAGGACCCGCCATATGTTCATTCAGTAGAATGTTAAATATAAGCCATAGAATACTCGACCTGTAAATGTGTATATTGTAATTACGGTTAGTTAAATTACCATTGAAATTGAAAGTTAAACAATTGACTATGTGATGCAGCTTCAAATTGACGTAGTTTTGTCTAAAATTACGCTTAGTTGAATGCAGTTAAAAGAAAATTAGATTAAGCAATTGTGTAATTATTATACAACATTATGCCCACCATTTTAAGAATGTACGCTCATATAAAATATTCCTTATCATTATCATTGTTTATTGAATTAATTATTGTTACTTATTTGGGTTACCTGAAATTATTTTTATCTTTTTGTATCAAATACTTAATCATCTCTTTCCAATTAGACTAATTGCTCATTGTATTTATATTTTTAAATATTTTATTATACTCATACTTAAAAACTAGATGTCGATGTAAATACATACTCAGTAAGGTTTAATGTAAGAGTTTGTAAATTTTTGACCGGCCGGTTGTGCAATTATTTTTAAAGTTATTTTTCAAAGAAAAATTGATTGATAAATTTTCTGGTGCTTGGTTTGGATAAGAGGCTCAATTTTAATTTATTTTATTAACTTAACTATCAAAAATACTTAATATATGAAAGGGTAAATGTTATGTAAATTGTACCTAATGTAAAATTAAGTTAGGGGAATATTTTCTGACTTTGTAAAAAAAGTTTTTACATAGAAAATATTTTTGTATATTGATTAAAATTGAATTATTGAATGCTGTAATGTTGTTTCATTGTGATTTATTATAATAAAATCTTTGTATTAAATACCAATAAAAATTGTTTGGCCCATGAGGGGATCGAACCCGCGACCTTCGCGTTATTAGCACGACGCTCTAACCAACTGAGCTAATGGGCAATTGTAAATGTTGCTGTAAATGAAATTCTGTAAACGAGTGTGATAAAAACATTATATAAATTCGATAAAATAAAAATAAAAGGTCATAATCAATTATTGTTTAACACCAGTATCACTCTCCCTCAATTTGTTTATTTTAATCATCCACAATGTTACAACACAGAACACTATACTTACTTGGACATGAAATAAAATGTAACATAATGCTAAATTAAATATTAATCGGGTAAAAATAAGATCAGTCAGTACAGTCATGTGTTTGTGTGTCCTCATATTACATTATTATAATAAAGACTTGTTATATAGTTGAAAGATATAAATCTATTGAATATTTATAAATCAAGAACTACCCATTCAATCCCTTCCTCCTATATACTCGTACATTAATACTTCTGCAAAATAGATAGTTACTTTACTACATAGGTATTATATGAATTTCATTATTAACTTGATGATGATGGATCTCCCAAATAATAATTAATATAATAACATATGTTTATGCGATCTAAATAAGAACAAGAGCGTGGGAAGGCTATTTAATTACAATGTATCGCTGTAACGAGATTATTAAACCACAAGATGGCCGCTATCGATTTTTCTACCAATTCTGGTAACGCCCATGCGATCCAACATCCAGTCAACAAGTCATATTTGATAGAATCTTTGTAGACTAAAGGAAAATTAGATGCGACCAAGCGAAAGTGGTGGGACTTGGTAGAGTTCTTACAAAACAAGGAAAATGTAAACACGTCCAGATTAAGAAGGTATTAGTGAAATACTTATTGTCGTGTAGACTTGGGCACTTACATAAAAATAGAGCTTATATTATACCTAATGACACAGATAAGTGAGACAATCCTATCCTTTAACGATAAAATGATAAAAAAATGCTTAATAATGTATCTAAACATTTCAAGTTTTTTTTTGCTACAGTTTTAGCTCTATGACTACGAGTAATGCGACTGCTGCTACAGTCACTTTATACCACCTGTAGAGAAAATTATGATAAAAAGTAGGTATTTAATGGAGTTGCCAAGTCTACTAGATTTTTAAGCTTTTTAAAGAACGTACGAGTAGTTAACACGTTTATCACTGCTTCGAGTAGTACGCGTGTGGTGGTATACAGTATGCGACTACGGGGGGTCCATATTTCCATAGTACCCATTGATATTTGAAGTAGGTACAATATGCACTTATCTAGTGACTGATTATCACTATCTCAATTGCTATAAAACACAGTCTGAAAGATATTATTTTTTTATGATCGAACTAGGTAGATAGATAGTTATATTAGTTAAAATGTATTATCAAATTCATAAATAGATTTGTATAGTTCAACAATTTTTAATTCAGAGCATTTTTTTTTATTTTTTAACCAAGTTTTTGATCACCCTGTATTAGTGAAAAACGCCAGCAACCTGATGAAATTTCAATGTGCTCCAGAATGTAATGTTTGCAGCCCACCTGTTATACCGTGATAAGCGTGAGAAAGTCCACAATGACCTCAAGCACACCGCAGCGAACATTTATAGAGTTTGAACAGTCAGCGTCAAATAGTTCGTGATTCGTGAAACCCACAGAACATAAAAAGCTCGCAAGACGTCTTTGTTACAATTGGAATAAGGTTGTTTTGTCAACTTTTTGACCACTTTTGCTGTCACGAACTATGTGACGCTCACTGCAGGTACATGGTAAAAATACTGCTAAGTATTTTTTTTAATATAATGACGTAGGGTGGGTTAAACTTTTTGCTTTTAATTCCTATTGGTGGTGATTTAATTGAATTCGTTGCCAGTGTTTGTTTGTGTCTGTACTTTGCATTGTTTTAGTTATGAAGTTTGGCTCTTTATTCGCCATTATTTCTACTCAAACCAAATAACAGTGGTGTGTGTTCGAGAAACAAATTATTTGTGCCCTTAATATTATGTAATGTAACGGAGACTGCGTCCCCAAGACATTTTTATAGCATAGGTCGTATTTATTTTTAAAATACAAAGTTAAACTACATTCTTCTGTTCGCGACGGTGTAATAGATGCCCCACCATAATTATCACCGTGTAATGTTTAAATAATTACAAAGTAGCCGTTGATCAATACGGGGTCAAGCTCGCACCTAAAATTACATACATTTGTTCACGTTACTACTTATCGAGAAGCTATGGAGATGTTAAATCGGTACTCTTAAAGCATTATTGATGATTACCGTGAAAGTAACCATAGTGTTACCGACAAACAAGTGGACTATTATAGTGAGAGAAATAAGATGTCTGAACCTCACTAGTCACCAGGTAAGTATACCTAACTATGATCGAAGTTGTAATTAACAAAAAGGAGAGTACCTACTAAATTAAGTAAAAAAAAAAACAAAAAAGTTTATCTTAATAACAAAAACAAAACATACAGTTGAATTGAGAACCTCCTCCTTTTTTTGAAGTCAGTTAAAAAGATGTTGTAAGTCAAGTGCTATCATAGTTAAGCCTTTAGGAGAGAAAAAAATAATGGTATTACAAGATATTGTTACGCTACTGAAATGTCTTATTTACTTAGACTCTACATTTCAACTTAGAATTAGAACTTAGTTTAGATTATTATTACTATTCAGTTGTTTATCTACCCGCGTAGTTACTTATTACGTATCGATAATACTTTGATCAATAAATCGATTTATTGTTTTATGGCATTGATTATAAAAAAGAAATAGGTAGGTAATCATGGTCTTGACAGCACTTTCATTTGTTTTTATCAATTTATTTGCTGTCAGAATTTTATTTTCGTCGTCTTCACCATCGGCCCATTAGCTCAGTTGGTTAGAGCGTCGTGCTAATAACGCGAAGGTCGCGGGTTCGATCCCCTCATGGGCCACAAAAACACTTTTTTGATTGCTGTAAAGATTTTTCACATTTAAATAAAGTTACTTACGTTAGGCACTTTTTGCTAGTGAAGGGGAAATTTGCCAAAAGCTTTGCCTAATTTAAGAATTACTAGTACCTATTTTTGATTGTTTTGTAATTTGTGTGTTATAGGTATCAAGAGGTTAGTTTTGCCTTGCTTTTCTAATTTAAGAATTACTAGTAACTACCTATTTTTGATTGCTTTGTAATTTGTATGTTAATTAGGTAAGTATCAAGAATTCAGTTGCATTGGTGTAAAAAACAAATGGATATTGAAAAACTAGCCATATCATCTCTGCTTTAAGAATGTAGAGCGAACATTTTAAATGTACCGTTTAAATGCCTATTCACTTCCATCAACATTACCCCATAACTGCCCATGGGTCGTAGATTCTAACTGTCATTTACACCATACAACCCTCATGATCCCTACTACCACAGTAAACATCCAACATTGTACTTTATGATAGAGTTACCGTAACCAGGAGGTGTATTCTGCAGAACAATTTCTCCGGAGAACATCTGTCTCTCTTTCTCCTACCAGTTTTCCAGTGAGTGAGCGGGACAGATAGTCGTAGATATTTCTAAATATTTCTTCGGAATCGGTACCCCGGTTGTAACAGCTGAACTGCTATTGGTATAATTTCCTGAAAATTAACTGCTGACGCGGGGAATCGTTAAAATTCAATGTAGACACGACGGCACGTCAAGCTAACACAGTGGTCTCTTATGTACTAAGTAATAGAGTCATTTTGCAACAAACTGTAAAGTCTGATGTGCTGTCGAATGTACGGTTTACGAGGGAGATAATAGATACAGTAATACGCGAGATCAAGATGGATTAGCAATTAAGTGAAGATAGCTACGTCCCATTTAACGGCCTCACCTAAGCTGTGAAGCGGTTTTAGACAGATTTAAACTCTATCTGAAGTTAGCCTTAGTCTAAATAATTCATTTTGAAGCTGTGGTACACCCATAAGAAATAGGTAACCAATAAATTAACTAAAAACCACCTTTTTTCGGACACTCTCCTGCTACTGGAATCCATTTTCTGAATTTGTTTAGTTCAACTTTTAGAAACGATTTTTAGTAAAATTTTGGAGGCAGTTAGTTTGTTAGTAAACTGAAGCAGTAACTTTAAGGCTGAGTTGCACCACCTAACTTTGATCGTAACTATAACGATAAACGATGTTTTTTGTATGGAGTTTGACAGATTTTTGACGTTTGTTAAAGTCAAAGTAAGATGGTGCAACCCAGCCTAAGAAACAATAAAATTGTTTTGTGTACCTAATGTAGGTAGAGCAACATTCTACAATATTTCAGTTATAAGTTAGCGACATTCGTTCCCTGAATAGGTGATAAAGTCTTGTTTAACTTTAAAGAATGCACATTACACATGTTATAAATTGTGTGCTTTACGTCCTACAGATCTACACCATAAGTTATGTGCAGTATTTTTATATTACTGGATTTACTGGTAGCCGAATTCACCAGTCTTAGCGCGCACGCATGTTATTTTACCGTAATTTTTTACTTAACAACCAATCTCAAACTCAAAATGAAAAGCTTTTACCAAAACGTCAACAAATACTGTAATTATTTTACAAAATTATTGGTATTATTGTAATTTTATAGGGACATCAAAATTTACCAAAGTGATTAAGTAATGGATATTTTGCCTGAATATTGAAATTATTTGTATCATCACAATCCGTTAATTGGTACCTATATTAATAAGTCGGTACAGTAAATAAAATTTTAATAAAACAGGATAATAAAATTATGTCAATAACATTAGCTATTATTTCTGATTTTTTTTCTACTTTTAACGTATTTTTAAGCATTGACCCCATATTGTGTCGAGTAAATGGAAAATGATTGAATAAACTAAAAAAAAGTTGGATCAGTTGGGTTAGCAAAATTAATACCTAATTATCGATTCCTATCAGTCATACCTCTATCTCGTAATGTTTAAACTCAAACAAGTGTGTTAATCAATAGATCAACTACTCTACGTTGTTTTTTGGGATTTTCTGTTTTCAACGCAAAATGTACAGTCACTAGCAGCGTATTGACATAGACAGTCTAGCTTGCACCGTTTCGTGAAAAGTGTCATTGCAATGCGACAAAACGTGTAAAGGTCATAGCAGACTTATCAACTCGGAAAGGGATCAACACTAATCGCCTTGCGCGAGCTGTCATCGCTATTCGCGCGCTTGTCAACCACGACGCGAGGCGTTTACGTTACGGTGCGGATAAGTGTGCGTTGCAGTATGGAGTTTCACACAAAGTATACAGACCGCCTCGAGTTTATACGGCTACGATCCCTTTCCGGGNTTTCCTGGTTGATAAGTGTGCTACGTCCTTTAATTTGACATCGGTTCAGTCACGTACGCGTTTGTAAACTACGCCATTTTTACAGCTTTCCACAGGTTCAACGGCTAACTACAAATTGCGATATTTCGAAGAAATTCGTGCATTTGTTTTAAGGAATTAGTCAATGTTACGTAGGTGTACGTAGTAGAGTCAGCATTAAGAGTCCTAATCCATTTTGTAGTCTGTTAGTTTTCACTTCTTAAGTCATCGGGACGAACTTGACCTTCGCTGATTGGGTTTTTATTGGCGGTCAAGCTGTAGATCCTGGCTACACAGGTCAGTTGCAGTGGTGGGAAAGGGAGATGGGAATAGTCCCGTTCTTAAGTCATCGACTCTCAATCTTGATTTTCATCATCATCAGGCCATTAAGTCTCTTCGTGTTCCTGTACGTACACGATCCTCTCTAATCTACCAGAGACACATAAATGCTGGATTTGGCCAACACTCCCGTTGCTGGTTAGATGGGTTCGAGTGACCTGGTTTTTGATCTAAATAAGACATCCATGAGAAGAATGGAATGGAAGAATAATGGGGTCTTACCTCAGATCATATGATCTGATGGTCTTACTGATTAATGCTGCTGCCAGAACCACGCCTGAAAATCTGAACCGATCGTACCGGCAAATACTTTTGAAATAAGTATTTTAGACTCGTAATTATATTTTTTTAATTCACTTGTCCTCGGGGGATAAGTCGCAAAAACCACAGCTTGCGAACCACTCGCCTAAGTAGGTAAATAAGAGACAAACGGTTATTAGTTTCGCTTGAATTGAGTTTTAAGTATATTTAGTACAATAACAGTACTAGAATGCTAATTAATTGGTATAAATATTATAACGGTTTATTCTTTAGCTGTTATATCTACTGAAATACTAGGAAAGTCGTACTTAGTGCGAGATTGTATTGAATGTCGTCGTTAGCGAATGCGTCAAAAAATCTATGAAAATTTTAGTTAGTGAAGGTTTCCGCTAGGGACGCTGTATAATCCGTCATACATTTAGGGTGCATTCGACCAAGCAAGAATCAATTAATCTCAGAATAAATAGTCAGTTATTCGACATTTTGACATATTTCCCATAGTGAAACTGTCAATGTGTCAGTTATACCAGGAGTTATTCTCGGATAAAAGTTTGGTCGAATCGGGCGTTAATGTCATTTTTTTAACCAGTCGCTAGTGAAAACGTTTGATGTAAACTCGCGCTAAGTCCCCAGTATATTTTTATTGTAATAGTCTCCCACGTGAAGCTACCGGGACCTTCCAATTATAGATCAGGGAACACTGGTCACCAAACGCTCTATTTCAATAAAGCATACACGTGGTAGCGTGGCCGAGCGGTCTAAGGCGCTGGTTTAAGGCACCAGTCTCTTCGGAGGCGTGGGTTCGAATCCCACCGCTGCCAAGTTTTTGATACTGTTCCTTTTTGGTGAATTTAGTCCAACTGCACTGTGACAATGTGATAACCTGTAGAGATAATGATAATTTTGGAGAGATCGTGAACTCACGGACATAATTTGATAACGAAGAGATATTGATGGTGTTGGAGAGTTTGTATCTTTTCATTGTTTCAGAAAGATATGACTGGTAACATACTCGTACATGTTAAACCTACCAAATCTAAGTCAATAACAATCCACTGACAGTTATAAATGTAATCTAGGTACCTCAATCCGATTTAAATCTGCTGGACTATTTGTGATAACCCCATAACAGCAATGTTACCAGACTTTTAACCTTAGGCTGAGCTGCACCATATTACCTTAACTTTGACAAATGTCAAAAATCTGTCAAACTCACAGAGCACGGAATTCGATTCCATGCTCTGTGGTCAAACTCCATACAAAAAGCACACCGGTTATTGTTATTGTTATAGTTAAAGTAGGATGGTGCAACTCAGCCTTAAACAGTGATTAGTGAGTTACTAATACGAGTGAAAATAATCTTAAAAGAACTCTTTCCGGAGATAATAACTGGAAAGTTAAACGCCTGTTTGCAAACTCTAACCGTAATAGGATTAAACAGTCAATTAATACCTACCAATACGGTAAACCTAACGCGGGTGATTCAACATTTTGTCACTACAATAACATTAAGTACCAATATCCCATAATGGCGCCTCTAAAAGCACAATTCGATCGTTAAACGTTTAATTTAATTTCACAACCTTATACAACCATCAATAACTGTATGAATGACTTACGTCCGTATTCACAAACATTAATATCAGGTCTCACAGTGCGCGTGGACGCACAGAGTGACACACGGACCAATCACAGAGCTCTATTCAATGCTGTGCATTCGATTTGCTGCTTCACTTAAGCAAGTATCGTTTGTGATTACGGGCTTTATCCTAGGGGCATAATAAATATTCATCAATAATGCATGCCAATCATCACCTATTTGAATTACATACCAATAAGTTATAAAAGGGCGAGTATTGCCACAGAATAAGTAATAGTACAGGGTATTGCTTACCATTTAATCACTATTTAACCCGTGGTTTAACTTGAAAAGCATTCGATTGTGACTTGTTTGAATGACTCAAAAGAGTCGTCAATTGATGACAGCATCATTTGAACATTAATCAAACAGTTCTTGTCTCTAATCACTTGAGATTTTGCTTATTGTGCGTATGGAATAGGACTTTGATTTAAAAAAACGGAAGAGTGTGAGACGGAAAACCAGAAAGTAATAGTTCCGTATTGTAATTTATTTTTAATAACATGTTTTGAAAAACATCGGAGCAGTTCTCCCTACTTAAATAACTTAGAACAAACTAAAAACAAATTTTTCCATGTTGGTTTTCTTAAATTACGGAATCCCAAAACAGTGATAAAACTTTAAAAGCTTGCGGGATTATATTTAAAATATGACGGACATCAATCTAAATCAAATTGTAGACATTTAGACAGCTTCTTACCTCCAGTAGATACGAGAAAAACTCAATAGTAGATATTCGACTGCACATCGAGCATCTGTAGTTGTCATGAGTGTTATTATTGCAACAAAAATGTGTCTTATTTGTGCTGACTACGACTGTACGTACTGAAATGTAAAATGTATTCTTGTTGCCTTATGATAAACTTTAATAATAACCTATTATTACGCTGAAGAATATGTTTCAATCATCTGCTTTTTCTCTTTTACAAAATATAAACTTTTTCAATCACCGATTTTAGAACTTTTATGTGTTTATTTACGCATTTCATCTTTTATGCAGTTCCCGTTACATGGCAATAAAAAGCAGTTTTTGAAATCGTTTTTTAGTACGTGAAGTTCTATCATTATAATCTAGACATGTAAGTAAAGTAGCTTTAAAAATTTCGTGATGTATAAAAATCATGGATTATTTTCAGTAGCAAACAACATCCGTCATATTAAGCTCTTCTTAAAGAAGAATTCACAAAAAATACATTTTGTTATCTAAGTTAATTGCGTAAGGAATTTTGTTTGGTTTCTGAAATTTTTGTAGTCTCCAAGTTTAATGTTTCGGCGATGTTTGACTTGCAAATGAAAAATTCTTAGCAATGTACGTTCCTTACAGAAGTATTGTAGTTAATTCTATTGAGTTTTACATGTTTTCTGAATCAGTGCAAATCAACGCGTCAGTAATAAAAGTCGCGAGCGGCAAGACGGATCTCCGTGCTGTTATGAGCCTCAGANTTCATTTAGCCGTCTCCCGCGGCAGCGGCCAGTCACCGCGCCCGGCACGCGCGCGACTGATCCGAAATCACCAGCGCACTGACCTATATCGAACGCGCGTTCTTTTTTCGAAATTCAAATTCGAAGTTGTTTTTTTTAGTGTCAATGACAATAGTGGCCAGATTTAGGTGCTGATCTCGATGCAGCATTGCTCGATTTGAGTTTCACAGTTTTCCCGCCAACGAACTGTTTGGTAAGATTGTTTATTTGTATTTTTTTAATATTAGAAACTTTTTAAAAACTGCTAAATCATTATCACTAAATCCTAGAAAGGCAAGACATTTAAAATATACACGCATTCATTAAACTCTAATTGAATTTCTAATAAGAGTGAAATCTAATAAATCATTCATGTAATATTTTATTTAAATAGAAAAGCAAATATAGATGACAACGAAATTGAAACTCAATATTAATTGATATCAATAAATCTTTCACTAAAGATAAATATTGCATCATTCGTTGTGTACCTAATTATTTGAAGAAAGTGGATTTTTAAGTATTTGCGAAAGTAAAGTTAAACGTAATAATTCATAATGACAAGAACTTAAAAGACAACTAAAATGTTTATTTTATAGATCGATTGTGTTAAAAAAATAAGTACTTTTTTTTAAATGCGTGAAAACGTCCAAGAAGTTTGTAAAACTTTTACATTAACACTGGCCAGACTGAAAGTTTGCAGCAAAAGAATAAACATTTCTTATCTTTATGGCAATACTCATAACAATGTAGAGATTGTTTTAACTTTTTAACATCATAGTTACTGTGAGAGGAAAATAATTTACCCGTTTAGACACAAGTTCGGATTCTTAATATTAAAATTACGTTGTAAGGGCTGATTTTACTAACGTCGGATAACTTTTAACTGAAGAATAAGTTTGAGACATTGAGTTTCAGTATGGGAAATATGTCCAAATGACAGGTTTATTCTTCAGTTAAAAGTTTTCAGACGATGGTGAAATCAGCCCATCGATTATTGTTTACGGATTACTTACAGATTATCTATTTGATTCTCATAACCAGATTTAACCAGATTCTTTCTAAAACGCTCATTAGAAAATTCACGTTTGGTCATCTCCATATTATTATAGTACCGGATGTTATTATTATTAATAAGCGGTCATCTTAAGACCTACATGGCGTTAGTGTAATTATTGACATTATGAATGCTACTGCGTACTTCAAACTATGAAAATCACATGTTTGCTTCTATATCTAGGAATAAATCAGTAATTATGAGTTCGAATTATCGTTACAACTCACTGTAGAGTTATTATGCACTGACTATTGATAAAATTATAGTAACATTAATATCGTGGGCACATTTTTGTTTAATCGCTTAATTCAATAATAACAAGCTAGATAGGAACTAGTAATTTTAGTTAGAATTTAATTAAAAAAATAGTTTGAGATGCGACTCTTAACGCTAGAAAATTGTAATAACTGGAGCATTTGTAAGCAACACAATCGCGTTTATAGAGTTCATCAAGGCTGATTAGTACCGAATAGTTTTTTTTTTTATATAAAACGTTTTATACCTAGTTAAAGTGTATTTGCCTCAACGCATTATGTAATCAACAAGTGTACATACAATTGAAAGTTCACAATACATTGACTTAATTAAATATTAATTAATTGAGTTACTTTCTATTATATTACACGTCTCTAATAAATCAACTTAGACTAAAAAAGTAAGAACATAATCAAGGCAAAGGCATAAAACTAAACAAATCTTTCAAATTGGAATATTTTCACTTAGATTAGAAAAAAGTATGAACACAAAATCAAAGCAAAGGCACAAAACTACATAAATCTTTGAAATCGGAATGTTTTCATACGTTTTTCATCATGAGACAGTTTCCAATATTGTTCCGTTTGGTTCCCACAGCGTTAGACCTGTCAATAAATTAACTAAGAAATTAACAGCATACCGACCGTACTGAAGGGACCATAAAAAGGCACCTCGTATGTCAATGGGGTAAGGTTCAAGTTTGTACAGTTAGTTTGTTTTCTCTCTTTTGTTTGTATTGCAATTATAGTACTGTATTGTAAGGCTAGGATAATTTTCTTTCATTAAGTTGTCTTGTTATGTACTTACTTAGGTCTTTTGACTTTTCCTATCTTATGGATATTATTATTTTTTCTGACTGTAATTTTTATCATTGACAATATCCGAAAGATTAGTTGATAAAGTTCGTGTAACTACAGATCAGATAAAAATGTTTATTGCAACATGACACCATACAAAGATACAAAGATGGCTCTACTTTTGGAGTTATGGACTTTATTGGTGACAGTTTTGATGGATAGATTTCTCATACTCAATACTTAGGGTGAGTTGCACTTACTTACTTTGACAAACGTCAAAAATCTGTCAAACTTCATACAAAAAGCCCCGGTCATCGTTATAGTTAGGGTCAAAGTTAGGTGGTGCAACTCAGCCTTAGAGGGTGAAATATTTTGAAACTTATAAACTATACCTACTTATTTACTTGCGTAGTGACGAAATTGCTTATACTATTCGTGAACCTTAAATTTACTTGCTTATTTTATGTCGGACTAATTATTTTTTGATGCTGAAATCCAATCAACTTTTTATATGCAATGATTCCGGTCAACTAAACCTCACGCAATCCCTCAAAATTAAAACGCAATAGGCTCTGTGTGACGTCAATATCACGCACTCATTCTTACTGGTAGTACTACTTTGAAGACGCCAATGTAGCCGAAGTGATGCCACGAGATTTCGAATATGTTTATAGTATTGTATACTTATAATTTGGTAGAGATAAAAAAAAAAGAACTGGTTAGTGGATTGTTTGAAAATACGAAAAGGCTGGATAGTTGTGTGAAATGTAAATCATGCATTATTTTATATTTCGTGGAAATGTCGTGCGGTGATTACGTCGCGTAGATTGTAGGAATATACTTGTTTATTAAAACAATATGCTCTGTGTGACGTCAATATCACAGAAAAAGCAATAAATACATTCTATTCTATTCTATTCTATTCTATGTTTCGGTGACTAAAAAATCTAAAGCGAGTGTCCGCGGCATCAAGCAAAAATCTTTAAGAAGTCATTCGCGGTTTCTCTATTTTTTAACAAATTGGCGGGAATTGTATCAAAAAGTGAATTGAAACTGGAAACTACTATACGCTCTACGCGTCATAGACTCGACCTACACTGAACCCAATACCCGTAATGATCGAAATGCTCCATTGGGTCACTAATTAGTGCAAGTGCACCTAAGCATTTCCCGACATGCACTAATTATACTCCTTGTAACAGATAACACAAATATTGTTATTATATTGTTATTATACAGATAATAACAATTTTGTTAAAGAGGCCGACTCAGTCTTTTCTTTAGTGATTGCCGCAATTCGCTGTCAGAAGTTTTAAGAATCCGGCTTATAAATTTAATAAGATACGGCAGTAATTATTATGGTAAGAATAAAACTTATACTTACACAGTAACTTCAAAGAAAGAAGGCAAAAGTACAGGCACATCGATCTCTACATTTTTGTTGCAAAAATCATACCACATCTACATAAGAAGCTACGTTATTATAATTTTCAATAAAGTTCAGTAAACAATATTAGCGACTACACAATTCTAGCAAATCTGAAAATGTATCATCGCCTGTAAAAAATAATCATGAAAAGAAAACCAATTTATCTGCCACAGACAGGAACCATAATATAGATTTACCTATGCTGAGTTGCACCATCTTACTTTAACAAACGTCAAAAATATGTCAAACTCCATAAAAAAAACCGCTTATTGTCATAGTTACTGTTAAAATAAGTTGGTGCAACTCATCCTTAATGTAAAAATGTATACGGATCCTGCACAGTTAGTCCACAAACGGAACCCCAAGGTCTTATTGTTTCGATCCATTGAGCATACACAGTCAGTGCAACAGAGCATTCATTAATTAAGCATTTCATTAAGGCGATATTCATTTACTTTTTAAACTGATTACTATGGTAGAGAAGGAAATGCTCTGTTTTTATGGTTCCAGCTCAATGGAAATGTCATTTTAATGTACTTTTAGAAAAGAATTACACATTCGTAGTCGTATATAGACTTAAACCCGTATTTCTTTAGAAATTCCACTGTTATAATGAATGAAATGAAAGAGTATGAAATTTTATCTGAATTAATTTGATTTTTTTTACCTACTGATATACATTTAGCCTACTTGATACTATTACGTCAGTGTTTACTAATGACATACGAAGAAACTTGACCTGCACTGGTTGGGCTTTTATTGGCGGTCAAGCTGTAGATCCTGGCTACACAGGAGTTGGAGCGGTGTGAACGAAAGGTGGGAATAGTCCCGTTACTGACATACGAAGCCATATTATATGACTATTTGTAAACTAAATTGTTACTTTTGACAGAAGTTTGTTCAGTAAGCCTTCGCAGACTACAGACTGTTTTCAGCTTTTAGCTTAATCGGGTTGTTAATCAGTATGAATGTACCATTAAGGTATACTTAAAGGTATCGGCCGATTCCTTTTACGAATTAGAAGCCGTCCAAACGATCAGCAGAAAATAGTTCATGACACCCAAAGTGGGCAAAAAGTTCACAACACAACCTTATTCCAATTGTAACAAAGACGTGTTTTTCGGCTACTATAGATGTCACTTATTTGATGCTGACTGTACCAGTTGAGTGGTAACTTTTAACAGTTTCTGAAGATTGAGTTAAAAAATGATTCGTGCATTGTGTTCTAACGTGTTTATTAGTTAGATATTAACGCTTCGTTAAATGTGATCTTTATGTGACAAGTTGCTCTTAATGTACAAAATCGCGTTAGTGTTATGAATCCATCATACGTTAGATAGTTGGATATGTTTCAATTAATAGAGTAATGTTTTTCATTAAGCTTGATTTCGGTAATATAATAGTCTGGTTGAGCCACATGCCACACCTCTATAGCGAATTAGCGACTTTTGATTCTCATCATCATATCATTTCAGCCATAAGACGTCCACTGCTGAACAATGAACATAGGCCTCCCCCAATGCTTTCCATGTTGATCGATTGGTAGCGGCCTGCGTCCAGCGCTTACCTGCTAGCTTTATGATGTCGTCGGTCCACCTATTGACTCTATCAGACCTCTATAGCGACTTTTGACTCTATCAGACCTCTATAGAGACTGTTTGAATCAATGTTTAGAA